AACTTGCTGAGTTGTGTGGGCAAGGTGATTGCCCGAATCCTGCTCAACTGCCTCGTCAGTCAGGTTGTGGAACCTAACGTGGCGGAAGTGCAGTACGGATTCCGTTCGGGTCGCAGCACTATAGATATGGTGCTTGCGTGTCGTCAGTTTCAGGATGTGTGCAGAGAACGACACCAGCCATTGTACTCGCTTTTTGTTGATTTCACCAAGGCATTTGATACGGTGAATCGCGTGGCATTGTGGCTGGTGTTGGGTAAGTTTGGTAGCCCGCGTAAGTTTGCAAGTTTAATTGAATGTCTGCACAACGGCATGCGAGCGAAGGTGCAGCTGAGTGCAGAGACCTCGGATGACATAGCAGTTGTCTCTGGTGTGAAGCGAGGCTGTGTCTTTGCTCCTGCCCTGTTTAATATATATCTTCATGCAATGTTGTCTTGTGCTTTTGATGCCACGTGCGCTTACGGTGTTCGTGTGGAGCACCGTATTGATGGTGGGTTGCTGAACATCCGTCGTTCCGGTTAGAGAACTCTAGTCTGTTAGACAACTATCCGTATGTTGCTGTTTGCTGACGACTGTGCGTTGTTTGCACACAGCGCGGATGAGTTGCAGCATATGACTAGTGCTCTGGCTTCGACAGCTGCCAAATTCGGGCTCACCATCAACACAAGCAAAACTGTCTGTCTGTTTCAGCCTTCACCGGAGGTGCAATCTTCAATATTGCCGCGAATCAGCATTGGTGCTGAAGTATTGGAAACCACCTGCCGCTTTTGCTACCTTGGGAGTGTGATGTCGACTGATCAGCAGATACATAGTGAGCTGCCTATCCGCGTGTCGAAGGCAGCAGCGGTATTCGGGAAGCTTGAGTACCGAGTTTGGAACAACCATCAGCTTACCACTGGCACGAAGCTGATGGCGTACAAATCCATGGTACTGTCCGTTCTTCTATACGGCAGTGAAACGTGGACGATGTACCGGCGGGATGTGCGATATCTCGAGCGGTTCCATCAGCAGTGTCTGCGACGAATTTTGCGCATCGGCTGTGGCGACAGAGTTACAAACACGGAAGTGTTGCGCCGAAGTGAGATATATGCAGTGGACTGCATACTTTTATTGAGACACCTGAGGTGGATCGGTCATGTGAGCCGTATGGATTCGACGCGGATAACGAAGCAGCTATTATATGGTCAGCTGAGTATTGAGAGATGACACGTGAGGAAACCGAAATTACGCTACCAGACATGATTAAAGTTAGCCTCACACGTTCTAATCATTGATTGCAGATCATGGGAATCAAAGGAGGTTGATCGGCGTGCATGGCGCGATCTGATCACAAAGGCAGTTGCCAAGGTGCAGGAGAAAGCCCTTATGCATGCAGAGAAGAAGCGGCAAGTGCGGAAGCGGCAAGCACCGATGGGTTGTTCTCCACAGACATCAAGCGCATGGTGCTGTAGCACATGCGGTCGCGAGTGCCTTAGTCAGGCAGGCTTAGTGAGCCATGACCGAGACCACTCGGGACTACTACCGAAGCGACGACGGGTCCTGCTGAGAACGTATGCAGAACTAGCGCAGCGTTTGTAGGTACGCTGCATTCGATTTACTAACCGCGTGCTTGCATGCTAAGTCTATTCATTTCAGGTGGTGGGTTTTCAATTTTGCCCTAATGCTTTTCTTTCTCATATAAATATCTACCTGTACTCTATTCCATTAACTTGCACACCTCGCTTAAGCCAATTGTATTCGATTTCCATAACATTTTTGTGTTCGTGGCATTTCCGTAAAGTATACTTTCTGACCTCGTGAACTTATCTAGGATTCGTTTGTAAACAACTTATTTCATGTGTTCATTAACTTAAGGTTTATGTCACCGTTTCCTTATGCATTAATCGAGTTATTTTCTTTGTATCTCTCTCTCAAATGATTGGCTGTTGCTTAATATCCCCGGTGTGGTTGCGCTTGATGTGCATGTTGACAAGGTGTCCACCTGTCTATTACCCACTACCTCGTCCATACTGGCTCCAGGAGACAGTTGGTCGTTGCTGGAGGGGACGGGTGCACGGTCCTTGTGGCCGTGCTAGGCTCGAAGAGTGGTTCCATGCACTCAGTATGGAGCGGACTACGGTCCAGCCACCGCCTTGTGTGCGGTTGATTCCCCAAATACAGCGTGCTTGTGTTTGCCTGTGAAGGAGTGTGGGCCGGCTCCGTTGATGAAACCTGGCTCCCATCCACATGCCTCCCGGTCTTATTCCTTCGGGTTTACACTGGATATGGGGTGTGTGGTTGGAGCTGTGGGTGGTGCAGCGCAAGCCATCCATGGTCCGTCTGTAGGCGCAGGTGTCCTGTGGCTTGCCACAGTGGCAGGCAAATCCGAAACCGGATGCCGCCAACCATAGGAGCTATCTGTTAGCAAATTTACAGGTCAAATATTGTTAGTGGATCAGTTTGTCTTCATGGACAAGTATGTTACAGTGGTTGCGTTGAGTCATGTAATTGCTCCAGGTTTCGGGACTAAAACGTGATATGTGAGTGGTGTGAAGCTGCATTCCTTATCGACATGTGCTTGTGGGTTCTACTTCTGATGAAAGACGAGGGTTTAATTGAGGGAACCCTCTTCCTTTCTGAGGCAGTTGTGATTAGATTGCTGAAGCGTACAATAAACTGGATTCAGGCGCTGTCAGGTGATCCGCCTTTCAAGAATACCCAATCGGTCATCACAAGTAAGTTGTACAAGATGTAATGTATTATAGTACGTGTTATTTCTGTGTGTTTCTACGAAATATTCAGCGCAACACACATAGTTTTAAAGTATAATGACATTATCACTTAACCCTAGTGGGGTATCTATAAATGGCCTGTCGATTATGAGTTCCTCATGTGTAAATACGAGGTCAAATACCGTCTATAGCAAGCTTTCTTCGTCCTTCGCTGTCAGTAGCGGTGCACGACAGGGCTGCCTTGTCTTCGTTCCTCTTCAATTTTGTGACTGAAGTCATCCTGTGGATATCTCTGGAAGGTCACCAACAATTTGGTCTACAGCTACTACCGGAAAGCGAACAACCGACTTAGATTATGCCGATGACATCGCATTACTTGGTGACAACTCGCAGAGTATGCAAACCATTCTAAATCTTTTGGCGATTGAGGCATCTAGATACGGAATGCAATTTGCCTCGTTGAAGTGCAACGTTCTGCTCCAAGACTGGCACTCGTCCGTTCCCATGTTTAATCTTAAAGGTACACAATTTGGAAAAATTACGTGCCTGCTAGTGACACAATTGAGAAGGAAGTTTCCCGCAGTATCGCCAAAGCTCAGTCGGCGTTTGTCAAACTGAAACACTTGTGATGTCCGGATGTCTCCCGTTTGGTAAAGGACCGTGTTCACAATGCCACTATATGGAAGCGAGTCGTGGCCAGTTCGCGTGAATGACATGCGCCGGCTCTCGGCCTTTGACAATGAGCGCTTGAGCAGAATTACTGATGTGAGATGGCAAAAAGGTATCTGCGACATTAAAACCAGACATTGTGCCTTAGGGCATGAGAGCATTCCCTTCAGCAAATTGGTTTTTACTTCGTCAGTTAAGACGGGTTGATCACACCCTGTGTATGCTCGCTGAGCGTTTGCTACATTGCGCTCCTCTCGTTAATGCAGGAGTAGGCTCGAAAGACCACAGGGTTGTCAGTCGTCCACTTGTCCATAGCACCGAAATCGTTGATTTCACGTCTCGCTACTCTTGGGTCCATACGCATGCATGGTTGGGAACCAAAAAACGAGGAGTGCAGATGGCCGGAAACAATTCAGGATATGGCGCATAATCGAAACTAGAGGAAGATATTAATGCTTATTGCCTGAAAAAGGAAAAACAAAAAGTTAAAAAACGTGTGTAAAATGACAGAAAATGTTCCATTTTCTTGCAGCACAACAGCTGAAGTGTGTTGCTCAGCTTCAGCTAATGTATCACGATGATGATGCAGCGATTCAATCTGTCTTTTTCCGTTAGGTTCGATGAGTTTGTTTGGCTCTATGTCCATTCGTTAGACCGTTACTAATACATACAAGCCGGTCGGTAGCATTAAGGATCACAAGCCTGCCTTGTAACTGAGTGCATGGATTCGAGCCTGCGTAGTGACGGGGTGACCCACGCACTATCCTTAGTCCATGTGCGACTGGTGATGGTTGCGGGGTAGCGAAGCCTCGGTACTTCGTACCAGGGTACTGCTTATGCCTTTCGTTTTCTACAAGCTGCAGATGACTCGTACTTGAATGCCATACAGTGCATATGTGTATCGCTCAATGTCATGTCCTCCACGAAGCATTCAGATAGGAGATTATCTACCAGTCACCCAGACTCAGTCGGCAAATAGTTCTATCGATTTGAGTTAGAAGGTCTGTCATAACTGACAAAAGAGACGAATGGGTGACTTAGATCATCAGTAGAGAACATCTGGCCACCTAGGCCAGTAGAAAGAGCATTTAGCCCAACCGAAATGCGAAAGATGGTTTAACCGAAGTGGCGCTAATGACGATACGCTTCAACTTTGTTGTTAACCATTTCATTTGCCAATTATATCAGCAAACTTCTGTATGACGTTTTTCCTCGCTTGCATTAGCATTTATTCACGTGTGCTCAAACATGTTATCCTTCCCGTTTAACTTTAGTGGTAGTCCCGGGACTATGGACTGGATTCACCGAACTTCGGTAATGAGTGAGCCGAAATGAGAGCGCAAGCTAAAGGAACCGAAACGTTGTACATTAGAGGCGATAATTTAAAAGCCAGATTACGACAAGTATCAAGCGCAAAAGCGCGCAAGGATACGGCTCGCGTACAACGAACAGCCTTAAAGGATATATGTGGAAAAATAAACAGAGGAGCAAAAATCAGTAGGGCTATTTATCACAGAAAGTCCGGAATAAGTACAAGTGATAGAAACTGAGAGTTAGAAAAATCACAGTAGTTTTTTTCGTCGTGCGTGTTTCGACACCAAATGGCGCATCCAAAAAGCATACCCGATTGCAATGGCTCGAAGTGGGCCGGCCAAGAGGACATCGAGGATGCAACTTCCAACAAGACCAGGTAGAGTTCCTAGCGTCACGCGCGAGAAACCTGTAGGTGGGAGCACACCAGCGGTGAGCATACTCAGAGCTGAGCCTTCTAATCCGTATGAGCTGATCAACTTTCCGGCAAGAATGTCCCGGAACACTGCAGAAGCAACATGCTCGGGTGAAGCCAAACCACTCGTGTGAGAAATCTCTGACGTTTCTTCCGGCTTTCCGATATTCTCAGTCTGAAAAATAACGTTGAAAACCAGGATTGAGCTCGGAATATCGTCATATTGCGCCACCGAAAGGATCAGAATTTTGTACCTACTTGAAACGCCCAACTTGCCGAATAGCCCTGGTGGATCAGATTTCAGACAATCAGAGATCCGCGTCTGTAGAGCTTCACTGTTAAGAGTGAAGTCAGTGACAACATAAGTGGAATGAACTGCAACAGGCAGAGGCTGTTATAAACCGCCCCAGAAGTAGGGGTGCAGTTAATGGGGGCAGCATCAAATAGTCAGCAGGCGCAGACAAGTACGAGTGAGTCGTACATCTACTGGGATTCAAAAAAGCGTGGGAAGACACACATAGATGGGCTACAAAGAAGCTGATATGAAAAATATGCACCTGTTAAGTCACAGAGATAAGTGGGCGAACACCTGCAAACCATGCGTCCAATTCGTTGATGGGCAGTGGTCTAAAGCATTGCGCGGCTATCTTGTCAGTGGTCACAGATTCGAATCCATATAGGTGCTGGAGAGGTCATGGCACAATCATCATCGGTCTCGGTACAGTGTGCCAACGTAATGTTGATGCTTTTCTTTCCGGACTGAACAGAAACTGCGTTGCAGCTCGAAACAAGAATGGAAAGTGCTGATTTATTTGAAGTGGAAGATGAGTCGGTGAAATGATGAACTGATCTGTGGTTCTAAATCGAGGGTGGGTGTAACCGAAACGCTGAGCGCGCACCATGCAGACTTCAAATTCAGAATAACACATATGACATGTGCAAAGCTGAATGCATCAATATCGTGCCAACAGACCAGAAGACTACTAATTTACTGCAATTATGTGCACGTAAACACATGGTTTCGAAGCTACTTTGGAACCTCACTGATGAGCACATGCCTCTAGTCTGTAAATGCAAATCTCATTGGCCTCGTTCAGTTACCATAGCGCGACCGATGAGTTACCACCTTAAGCAAATAAAGAGATTAGAGGTTCTGGCAGCTTTGAGTTTTAATTATCTCATCATTATCATTATCTTATTTATTAATGTCCGTCACTCTTGAGACTACAGGAAAAAACATCTGGCAATAGATATTGGCAATGAGACCTGTTGAACCAACACGCTTATCTTATCCCCATAGGGGAGACGCAGTATCAATCCACAGACTGTAATTAAAAGATGATGCAGTTACAAAGTTCGCCGGTGACTGGTAAAATCAGGATATTGGGAATATAAGCTTGTAGATCTAGCAATCAATAAACGACTATATTTGTGGGCACATCTCGGCTAACTGCATGAGCAAATATAACGTCCCAATAATGAGGTTCATTCGGCAGGATGAATACGGCTCTTATCAATGCGGTCAAACGAAAGAGGAAACAGCCATCACAATGACTACAGTGAACACCAGGAAAAAAGAAGAATACCACTTTGGCAACAGTACTCAAGAAGGCCAAGTTCTTGAATAGGCAGTTCTAAATTAAGAATGAAAACAGTAGATGGATGAGTAGGCTAGCATCTTTTCCCGAAAGCGCTACTAAGGACAGTCAGTCTGGGAGTATTAACCATTGTATTTTAGGTCCAAACTTATGATATTAACATTTAGGGACACATACACCTTTGATCAAGGGAATAAAAAGAGTATCATCCGTACGTCAGTTCGCAGTACCAACGCTTTGCTACCGCGCAACCACCAAAAGTCGCGCGTGGGCTGAGGATACCGCCAGTGTTGCCCGATGCACTAAGCAGGCTCGAAGCCGCGCTCTCGAATTACAAGGTAAGCTTGTGATCCATTAGGCCACTTGTGGGGTCAGGGCAATGTCGTAGCCTGAACCTAATATCACAATATTTATCTCACGCGAAGTGGAATAGTGAAAACCAATGGAATGAACATTCTCAGAGAAAAATAATTGCATAACCCTTGTCGGCCAAATGGTTCACGAACACTCACGAACACCTGCGGCTAATCGTTGGCGCCGTGTGCCCAGTTTTAATTTGCATTTTAGTACATATTCCACTGAACCAGACTAAAGTGCCAGAGGGGCATAGAGACAAGAGAAAAAGAAACACGTTTAGGTTTAGATCGGTGAAATTCGAAAATAAACGATGGTTGGAACCCACACGGTGTCACTAAGCACGACTGAACGCGGGCACTGTGAGCCCCCAATAAAAGTGATACTCACGGACACCAATTCCTTGTCCGGAATTCTGCAGTTTCCATGTGTCTGGACAGTAAGAAAACACTGCAGCTTCTTTTTCTTTTCAGAGTCGTAAAATATCTGTTCATTTCAGCGTATTGTTTATTTAAAGATGGCCCTCCTCGAAAGTTGAAAAGTGATCAGTCCTAGTCTTGTCGAGGGGCGCGTAGCCCTATTGAGCAGGAGAGGGGATCAGAACCTCGATACCACGGCGAGTTGTTATGTGTGGTGACGAGGAGAAAAAAGGTCACAATCTTACAACTGGTTCTTGATGGGAATCGCCGAAGGCGAGCGAATGAGGCGAATTTCCCCGGTACAACAATTGTTCGGTCCGAACATTAGTCCAAAGATGAGTTACCTATGTGAGGGGACTCGCCGTTCATGGGAGTGATCTGATGAGGTCATCCGAAAGTTGAATATGGGTTGAATGCGATTCATGTTGAAAAGTCATGTGCGTACATGATTTGTAACTGTCGAAATTTCACCAATGCGGCTATTCATATATGCCACCTCCAAAATGCATGTGGTACACGCAATATAAATGTTTATGATAGTAGAGAGCGTGACATCCGATAAATAGCGTTTCCTCGAGCATTCCAACATGGTGGAATTAAAAGGAAATAGAACAGCACAAGCGCAGCAGAGAAACAACGACAATGGTTTGAACTAGCAGGTAGAAGTAGAGCGATGGAAAGTAACAGTGCCATTAAGTTCTCAAATACACTGATTTACATGACAAAGCGCCGCGAAAGCAAACTACTGAATTTCCGACTCATCTCTCAAATGCCCTGATTCGGTTCCTGCTATGTCTACCGGATGAGGGTAACTAATTTCGAAATCATTCATGGAGTGCAGTGTTGCTGGGCACACAACACCCAGTGTCTAGCTGCTTCCTCAGTTGCGATCCCAGTGACTGGACTGACTAAGGTTCCCTTCAATGTGAATCACAATCCATTCACACAATGAGTGCATCAAAATAACCCCTCCTATCATGCACTAACTGTTTTGACAAGCGTTGCCAGCCGCGATTCGCGTGCTTTGGGGTAGTAGTTCCGGCGCACATCGCAACGGCACCGGGTTGGATGCCAGCTATCTCCCCCTGATGAGAACAAATGAGCTCAAAACCGGTCGTAGAGTGCGGTGTTTTGGGACAGGCAATACCAAATATCTAAAAAGCAGGCACAATCCAACGTGACTGTCTTCCGATTCAACCATCAAGCTATAAGCAAACGGATAAGTATTCAGCGGCTGACCCAAAGAGCGCATATCCTAGTGTTCAGGGTGAAGTCATTGGTTCGCTCCTAAACGGTAGATAACCAACACAAACATTATTCATTCTGTGAATCTAGCAGAAGTGGACAACCAACCGTAGCCACTGGGAACCAAACACGAATGTTCGCTTGATGTGATCGGTACAAGATAGCAAAGCCATTGGTTCACAGAATAAAGTGGTTTATAATAGGGCAATGCATGTCTTTGATTCCACTACTAGTGTCCTATCGCCTGCACAGTTGGCTGATAAGCAAATGAGAATCTTCCGTAATTCCAGCACAAGGCACAAGTTGGAAAGTAACTCAGCCAGACAAGTAGAACGGTTCCCCTTAAATCATAAGGATGCATTGCAGGCCAGTCTAATACTGCTGGACTATGAAGACAAATGTCAAAAATAGCAGTACTCCATATCAATCAAGATTGGCTTACAAGAAGGAAGTGTTGCCTGAACACCATATCCATCATAATTTCAACTCTAGATGAAACAACCGGAAGGGAGTGGTGTGTTGTCAAATGGTGCATGAAAAGGAAAGGAGACAATCCATATGCGCTCTGTTAGTTATTGTAAATCCAGAAACTTTCGCGCACTCGTACATTGACGCGGAAAACTGGGGATGACATAATGGGACTAGCTCGACGACGCAATTCGAAAGTAGCAAGAGGTGCAACGGACCGGTAAGTCCAACTGAGTAAGGAGCACAACTCAATTCAGGGGGGATGACTAGAGTAGGTAGTTTGTATATGCGAAGATATTCATGACCAATGCATCCTGTAGCTAGACAGGAATCGGTCTTCCTTTCAAGTGACGTGTTGGTCTCTGAAAGAGTCAATCACATAACCAGTGATCACTCACACATTAGTGGAAGCAAGCAATACCGCTGAAAACCAATGCCTAATAGGGGCGCCGAATAACCGGACCACAGTGCTGTTATTGTTACGGCATCGGACATATCAAGTCGGTAGATCAATTAACGCTCGTGAAATTGGAGTTAGGTGCCATCCAATAGCACACAGAATGCGCGCTGTGTGCAAGAAATAAGCCCGAATATATGTACAAACTAGAGCTAATAAGTAACCTCTAGAAGTCAGGGTGAAATTGTCAATGGTCACCATCAACCTGAAGAGTACTAATTGCAAAAACCTCAGTGAAAGGTTCCCTGATTCGTGTGAACTGCCCACTTGAGGCACATTTCAGCGGCGACAACATAGTCCGTAATCTTGTTGAAAGGACGGAAGATGATGGTTGTCGAAGGAAATCATATTTAACTACTCCTACATGACCAACACATCGGGGCAACAGAAATATACAGTGGGTAGAGCCAATGTTAATAAGATTTGATGGGGCACTTGAAATCCAAAGACCACATCCGGTTAACCTCCCCTAGGTATCGCGATGGGCAGCCTGCACGAACCTTAAGCACAAATTAGAGATCTGAAACAAGTAGGGCCATGCGATTGCAGGTAAGCGGAACTCAATAACTCAGTAATGGAATCCAGTCAGATGCATTGCGACACCATTATGATATGCGAATGCTTCGGAGAAACCAACAACAGTAGCATTCGCCAGTCTATTCGGCACAGTCATGAGGCCAAAAATCCACCTATAAAAAACAACTGTTTTGAGGACGGCACGGCTTAAATGTCGAACGAAAGGACGAAGTGAAAGATGACGCTAAATAGGTTAAACTGTCTCATCCCAGTCAGCCACTGGTCGATAGCTCCAATGACAAAGGCCCGCACGCAACATCAATGATTCTAATAGAAAAGCAGAGTGAACCCTGAACACAGGAAGGGAGAAGCTCCCAATCACTACGGATCCACAAGGTCTGGAGCAGCCATGAACTTAGTCGAATAGTCAGCAAAAGTTGCATCTGAAATAAATACCAGTGGAAAAGAAGCACCTGACATCAGATGCAGTGACGCTAAAATGCTAGTGCGTTGGTGAAACATGTGTGTATAGGGGATGCAGAATAGTTAAGCAGGATAGGATAAGCAGGTGAGTACTTATTTCGTATGGCATGTGCTGTAAAGTGAAAAGAAAAACACCCGGTGGGTAAGCAGTTTGGTTGTTTCTCATTTGTGGTCTGTGAATCCGTGACACGCAGGGATTAAGATAAAGGGACACACTGATAATAAACTCACTGCAAATCCAGGAGTGTCTGTGTCCGGTGGAAAGGCCAAAGTCACAAGGGGGCCGGAATGCTCGAGTTCGAGGCGCAAAGTTTCGGCGAAGCCACGCAAAGCGCATTTACTTCCAGTGTAAGCGGCCATACCGAAAATACTGGCCTGGGCGGCCATACTGCACACGAAAGCAATGCGACGGTCCGAAACAGGGCGCGAATGATCATGTATCATGGTTGGAAGTAGTAATTTGGTCAGCTTCACAGCGCCCAAGTAGTTGGTTTCGAACAAATCATTGAACACGTGCGGCGGAGTGTCCAAAAATGTGCGAGACACCGCAAATCCAGCGCAATTGATTAAAATATCCACAGGACCTAATAAATGCATTAGGTTGGTTAAAGAAACAGATAAGAAAAAGGGGAGGGCATGAGCAGTACTCCGGCACATCGTAGTGATGCTTCGCCAATACGCGACCACCAGCGGCTGATGAGGATTGGGTATACTGCGTAGGGGTGGGCGTCCTCGCGGTATACTCGGCCCGCGCGCGACTGGTGGTGGTCGCGCGGCAGCGAAGCGCCGTTACGGCGTACAGCTGACATATTATTATTATTTTTATACTGCGAAACCGCCAGCAACCAACCGGAATATAAACTAAAAGTTCAACTTGATACGTTTGAGGCATGAGTAAATAGTCGGGGGAAAAGGAACGTGCCGGCCCGTGATCGAAGGGATGACGCGTCTACTTTGCATCCCGAAGGTCGCGGATTCGAACCTGCGTAGGGGACCGGGCGACCCTCGCCATGCGCGATTGATGGTGGTTGCGTGGCAGCGAAGCGCTGATACGGCGTACCGACGTACTGCAGATGCCTAAGGATAGTTGAGTGACAATGGAAACAGACGTTCACACAAACAAGACTTGTAGTTCGGATGGAATAAAGTGAACGAAGAGTTGAACACTATTCCAGGTACACTTAGTAAAAGCGACAGAGCACACCTCACATTCAATGAGCACGAAAAAGGGAAGGTCAGGTGCGAATACACGTAGGGAGGTGCTTTAATAACTTGCCAAAGGAGTCGTGGGCCAAATCTTGGTATAGTGTGATCAAGTGGGACGACACCACTAAATCGCCGCGTCGTCTGTTACATACAGTAAGAGTTAACGTTGGTGAATAGTGCGGGAAGGAGAAACGGTCCGGCAGTTATTCCAACTAATAATGGGAGAGCAGATTGCCAGATATAGCCAACAATCGTACAGTTCATAATTAATGCGGAGCAAAACAGTCTCAAATCTGCTAATGCATCGTGGAAACTATCGGTGACGGTATAGAACAAGCTAACCGTGGGATACATGCTTCTAACACTAGAATGCTTATAATGGTAGCGACCCAACATCAATCGATGATGGTTACCATTTCATTCCAGTCTTCTAGGTCAAGCATTAGAGATAAAATCTGTGCTAGATTGAGGTTCGCCATTACCGGGTTCAGAGAACGAATAGCGGCTGACAATGACAGCTCACAGTTGTGAGTCTTTTGTTAGTGTTACGTAAGGGCTGAAGAACGATCAAATCATTGACAGATGACGGCTACTTGGGCGTTCTTGGCCATAATTCGAGGACTTGTATTCCTTTATTCGTAATGCAGTATTCAGTGTTCAATGGTGCGTGGTGCTTTGGTTAGATGGTCTTATTTAAGAGTACCGAGTAGACACGATGGGCATACCAATCGCTAATCCACGGAGGCGTCTGGACCCATGGGCCGAGCACGTGCATTCCCAGTACAATTGGCTCTGATCATCCGCTTGGGTCCAGTATATCCGGTTATTTGTCCGGAGTCGTCTCCCCAGGTTCACTAGGTTCGACTTTCGACTCGGAACGATTCAAGGCTATCGACTCAGACGGAGGTACACTGAAGTGTTTAAACTGTGGCGGTGCAGTAATTGCCAAGTAGGCTAGACTGACGGCAGAGAGAAAGGATTACTGGTAATGAAGAGATCAAAAAGGCCATGCAACTTTTTGATGGCTTAAACAGACGTGTTTTCTGCGACATTGACAGCCTAGGATTAGACAGCCAATCACTGATTCATGCGGAAAGCTGTGAAAACTTTTGAAGAATATGGCTGATGACAGTGTGTTGGCATGAGCTACGCCCCATCGAAGTGTAAAATACTGCTCAAGGATTGGCTTTCACCTGCTCCCGTACTCACTCTCGAAAGTGCACAACTTGAACAGGTAGATATTTTCGTCTACCTTGGGAGCTGTGTTTCTGCTGACGGCACTATCAACAAAGAAGCTTCCCTTCGTATCGCTAAAGCTCGATCAGCATTTGTCAATCTGAGGCACTTGTGGCGTCGTCGCGACGTCTCATTCTCACTAAAGGGCCGCGTTTACAGCGCATCAGTTCGCTCAATATTGTTGTATGGGTGCGAGTCCTGCCCGATTCGCGTGGAAGACATGCGTCGTCTTTCTGCCTTCGATAACGGTTGCTTAAGGAGGATCGCTCGTGTTGGTGGCAACATCGAGTTAATAGTAATGACGTTCGACGTCGCATCTTGGGGAATGCGAGTATTCCCTTCAACAAACTGGTTTTGTTGCGCCAGTTAAGATGGCTCGGTCACGTTCTACGCATGGCACTTGAGCGTCTATCGCGTCGCGCTCTATTCGCTCGTCAAGGACTTGGGTGGAGGCGACCGCGTGGTGGTCAGCCTTCCACTTGGCGGCAGCACATGAAATCGCTAACGTCGTGTCTAGCCGCTGTTGGATCCGTACGTTTTCCAGGATGGGGACCCAAAGATGAGGAGTGCCAAAGGATTAGCACTCTTGAAGACATGGCCCGCAACCGGAATCAGTGGAAGAATTGTGTACAGTATTGTACTGATTCACATGTTTAATACTACAAACATTAAAAAAGAGCAAAATCGGCGTGTGAAAAACAAACTAAAAATGTTTTGTTCTACTTTTTGTCAAAATGTTCCATTCTTCCTGCGGCATATTAGCTGAAGTGTGTTGCTCACCTTCAACTAGCATGCCACGATGATTATGACGCGATGACACTTGCTTATCCGCTGATCTCCATGGTTTTATGTTGGCTCTGTGTCTAGTTGATAGACTGTTAAGATTACTACTACTACTCGTGGTCAAACACGACAAGTCTTCACAGCGAACTGGCCAGATCTGTGATCCATACAGTAAGACCGGCCTTATCGCAGCGTTATACATCCTACCTTTCACTGTCTCGCCCATATTCCGCTGTCTCCATAGATGGTTTAGTCTCTGGTAAGACACGCGGGTCTTGCTGATACACGAATTAACTTCCTCAGTGATGTGACTGCCAAATGGACCGATTTACCACTTCCAGTGGCTGTTCGGTGATAGCTAGAACCGAAGGTGTATCGACTCAGTTCTGTAACAGTACTTTGCACTTGGGAGGTGCAATGTATCTTCATTCACTGCGCCAATAAATATTGACAGTTACTACCATGCTGTATCACTTTACGCACTGTTTGGAAGTTGCGTCCCGAATCTTTGCTCCATAAGATAGCATGCACTGAATGCTTTGCCTTTCGCCCAAAGAGCTATACAATCTACATGTTTGTTTGGAGAGATTTTCACTTTCAGTTGAAGTACATAAGTTTTCTGAGCATCCATTCTTGGCTATTCACTCTGTAACTCATTCTTACCACATCTCACTTATACTGCTTCTCTGCAAACACTCGGTCGCCAATCACTGAGAAGTAACACAGTAGAAAAACCAGCAATACGGGACAGGTGGAACAAAAATAATGAATTGATATACTCAAACGTAGGCTATTTTTGATGCAAATTGTTGTGGGTTCTTCGCAGTAGCATGTGCAGCATGGCGGCGGAGTATTGTTCAAGTCTGGTTGGAACATCGAGTGAGAAATGCTGAGGTCCGTCAGTTAGCTTTTGGCAAGGCCTTCTGGTGTCTCATTCGAGTGTTTACTGAATCTCAATCATATATTCGGATGATTGCTGTGTCTTTTAATATGAGGAAAAGCAATGCAAAAAAGAACCTGCATGAGTGGAAGCCTCATCATGTATACATCTTAGCAGAAGGTGAAAAACACACCTCATCTAATGTGTTGTAATACAAAAAGAGAAAAAACAAGCAGTAAACTGCTAAATACCATAGCATTCATTGGGTATGAGATGGTTGGAGGGGAAGCTGAAGGCAAAAGAAAGGGACAAAGAAACACAACATAAACGCCGTTGAGGTCGGCTCTTCGCCATGTTTACTACTGTATCAAACCAGATGTGTTCATCGTCCATGAGTGAAAGCAGTATGAAGCTCAATCGTCCGCGAATTTGAACTTGTTCACAGCCAGTGAGCACCACAAATTTTCTTATGACGGCACCACAGGTCTCTGTGCAAACTCAGCCTACTCGTAAGTACACTTCGAAATGCCTCTAGACTAAAATAGATGGGCGAGGATCATCGGTAGCTTCAAATGGTTGCTTTCGAGCAGCAATTCGCATTTGTCTCCTATCAAAGATTTGATTATCCACGCTGGAATTACAGGGGAGTGGTCTAAATGGTGCGTTTAGAGATATTATTATACAGATATCCCGGATAATCGTGTTTCCCTGAACTCTTCAACTAGCAAATTATGTCCGAAACGCCCAATGTAGTTCAATCGCCATTACCAGTTACTAGTTCTGAAAAGTACAAGTTCGCACTTTTGTGCCCACGTAAGCAGTAGTATCGCACTGCACCAAAGAAATAAGTGGGAGTACTTCGGCCCTGAACAATAATGCAACAGCTAGGATCCGGAACAACAGGTGGGCTGATAATGACGGTACACCCCGGATTATAAACAGATGTGTAAATCGGAATTGAGTTACTTGTTGCAATTACTCGTCTGCATTTCAGCGGTCTTGGGCACCATACTAGGCATGAGGCATTATGGGTTGAATTCTCGCAACATGAAGGCAGGTTGAAGAGGGGAATAAGGACACTGCAACTGCAGGCTAACAAGGGTGAGCATTAGCAGTACGCCGTACTGACCCTCGCTACCACACGACCAACACCAGTCACGCGCTAGTTGGAGAGACTGCGAGGTCCCTCGCACCAATGCATGCGCGAACAGGTGACTAGTGGATCACAAGGCGAACGCCTTGTGCTAAGCAGCCATCAGTAGACAAGAATGCGGCGAACGGATGGCAGCGATGTGGTGTGAGAGAATAAGACCGACCTACATGGTACCGGCATCACAAGGATATTTATCATATATCACGTTCCCTTCTAAATTGTCTATATCCCATTAGTGAGTTCCCATGACATAGGAATAGGTGTAATGGACAACCAGTTCAATGCGCTAGAGTTGAAGTGCGAGTTAGAAGTAGAACAAGTCGATTTCATCACAAAACTGCCGTTGGTCATCTTCCTTAACCAGGTGTCGATGAGACTATCGTAACTGATTGACTGCGCTCATGGTTTAGATAACCAGTAAAGCATATGAGACCACAAAAAAGAAATCGTTTTGAGCTGTTGATGGTGGACAGTTAGTAACAAATGAAACACAGCGTGCTAAAGAATAGGCCATCAGGTAAGAGAATAATAATTCAACGACAATGAAACCGCTCAACCCAGTACAAAGGGATAAGGAGCGCGCCATACCTGTCTCAGAAATGTGCGCTTGAAGTTTGGTATGCAACTGGTCAAAAGTGTCACGCAAATCGATGGAGAGTAAGTGAATAGTACCACCACTGTTAACAGAGTGTTCCAATTTCGATTTGGCCGCCTCCAATCGGTGAAAATCACGAGCGAGCAAGGAGACATTGGCTCCTGATCGATAGAATAGCTCTGATAGCGAAAACCCAATGCCGCTTGATCCTCCAGTGATCAGAACGTTGAAACCGGTGAGTTGATATTTTTTTGGAAAGCGCCAACGAAAAATCCAGAGTAGAAAATACGCAAAACATACCAAAAAAATTGATTCTAAGACAAGAGCCTGAAAGGGAGTAAATACAGGTGAGGAAAATAAAGCAAGCATTTAAGTCACTACGTGAAAACCCAAAATGTCGTGGAATTTTACCAGTTGGAGTGATTTAAGCGTAAATTCCGACTTCATCCAGAAAAGCTCGTTACCTACAACTTCAGTGGTAAGATACCCATTGCAAGAAACCGTAATCCCATCGGACATCTATGACGACACACTTGCTTCACACAATTACCCAAAGCAAAAAAGGATTAAATCCCAAAGCGCCGCACAAACCAGCATCCGTTAGGCAAACCGACATAGGGAGACATAATGTAGATTCAGCGGAAAAATGCGTTTGAAAAAGTAGAAATAGACAAATAAAACGATTCATGGAAAACAGGATGCAGGAAAAGATGCAAAGAATTGTTAGATTTTGGTGGAGAAGTGAGTAAGTTGAACCAGATAAAAAAACTGCAACACGAGCCCGGAAGTGTGGAGCAGCAACGCATGCATTGGTTTGTAGTCAATGCTTTTCGAGTTCTAGTTCGCCCTATTGTATGCGTTTGGATACCTCTGTTGAATCACAATCGCATATGTTTGCATGACCACGAAGCATGAGTATAGGGCGTGGTGTGCTATTACTACTCCGCATCTGCACAAGATTGTGGGCAAGTGCATTCGAGGGGCACTCATGAAACAATACGAGTTTAGGAATAGTTTTAAAACTCTTTGCGAGGATCGACTACCAACATCTCATCCAAGCCGTACGGGAAAAAATCAATGGAAACGCCATCATTCATTCATCATTATACACGTCAGCTAGAGGTAGGAAACACCTCAGCTACTGTGCCGCAATACATAAAGGAAAAGGAAAATAAATACAACACTTGCATGCCAGCTGAGCTACCAGCAACGGATAGGCATCGTTCCCATAAGCTACCAGCCGGCTACTAGGCGAAAAGAAAAATTACAATGTTTTACGCTACGAAATGAGATCGTGGGTGAGGGGGAGGCCGAAGGGGATGGGGGAAAAAGAAACTCACAGCAGGACCGCAACTGAGGTCGACTCCTCGCCATGTCAGCAAGTGTATCCAGCCAAATGTGTTCACCGTCTTTTGGACCCCAACCAGGGAGCCGTGACGCACCAACCGAGACCAGCTCAGAAGTGAAGGCATTCATTCCTCTGGACAAAGTCATCGTTTGGCCACCCCTCCTCTTCTCCCATCCACATCCCCGGTGAGCAAACAACGCACGTCGTGGAAGTCGGTGGGCTGGCATGCGCAACACGTGGCCGAACCATCGGACCCTGGTGCGTGAAATGACGGTGGTGAGCGGTTCAATTCGTTTATCTGTGCCGTAAACAAGGCGTCGAACACGCTCGTTGCTCACGCGGTGTTCATACCAGATGAGAGCCAAACTGCGAAGGCACCGATGGTCGGACGTAACTAGCCTCTTCATGTCCGCCGATCTTAGGGGTCAGGTTTCGCAATCGCACAGTAGAGTCGAACGTACTGCTGCATCGTACACTCTACCCTCCAGGAAGAGAGTAATGTCGCGCCGCCGCCATAGGTGGCGAAGGTTAGCAAAAGCACTTCGAGCTTTCGCTATACGGTTCGTGATCTCATCTTCGATCCCAAGGGCGCTGATACAAATTCCCAGGTAGTTGAATTTCCGAACGACTTCTAGCTGATCCCCACCAAGGGTCAGCGCAGAAGGCGATCTCTGCCAATCTTGGAGGAATGCTTTGCATTTCGATGGTGCAAAGCAAAGCCCAAAGCGGCTGACAGCCAGTGCTAATCTGTCCAGTGCCACTTGACGCGTCTAGGAGCTGTCATAAATGGGGGCAATGTCGTCTGCATACTCTAAGTCAGGAAGTGGTTCTCATGGGAGTAGCTCCACACCTTCTAAGTAAAGGTGTCAGATTATACGCCGTAACAGCGCTTCGCTGCCGCCCGACCACCACCAGTCGCGCGCGGGCTGAGTATACCGCGAGGACGCCCACCCCTACGCGGATTCGAACCGGTGACCTTCTGGTTACAAAGCAGACGTGCAGACCACTCGGCCACCGGCCGATACACCTTCTAAGTCATGTCCTGTAAATACATTTTCCCTGACTTCGTCAATAGCGAAGTTGAAGAGAAAAGGTGACAGCGGGCATCCTTGTCTCACACCGCTGGAGATACGGAAGGGTGGCGACAGCTTGCGATAAGCCCTCACTCTGCCCGTGCTACGCGCGTATAATGCTCGGATAATATTTACATATTTCTCGGGCACACCATTCCTGAGTAGACAATTCCAAAGGGCATATCGATCAACCGAATAGATTGCACCTTTGATGTCGAGGAACACGACTAAGGTGGGCCGCCAATATGTGTGTCGGTGCTCCAACAACTGACGCAAGGAGAAGATGTGGTCGATGCAGCCAAGACCCCGACGAAACCCGGATTGTTCCTCACGAATCTGGCTTTCACGAGCGCCAGTCAGTCTGGGAAGGATTATGGAGGCGATGGAGATCAGACTGATCCCTCTGAACGCGAGCCTCCTTTGAAGATGGGAACAATAAGGAAGCGGCTCCAGTCGGTTGGGACAGTCTCCTGCTCACACAGTTTCCCTAGTAATTCATGTAAAGCATCAACAAGAGCAGAGCCTCCGAATTTGAAGAGGGCTGGAGAAGGATCATCTGGTCCCGTGGCTTTGTTCAACTTAAAATGTCCGATCTCACATTCGACTTCTGAGCGAGAGGGTGGATCCAAAGAGACAGCCCACGGAGCAGGGCGATCAGTGGCCGGCGAAGAATCAAACAATTCTAGCCGATTAAATTGCTTTTCAAAGTGCTCAGCCCAAAGCTCCAAACGTTTTGACAAATTGTGTATAAGGTGTCCACTCTCGTCACGTATAGTGTCACTAACACCAGGTCTCCTGCTGCCTGTTTCCCGTATCAGACGGAATAATTTAGGATGGTTGCCAAGGCCAGCGGCCACTTTCATCTCTGACGCACGTTGAGATCACCAAGATTCGCGGTCTCTCTTCAGGCTGGCACGGAGTTTCGCCCGGAGCTCTTCGCGAGTTTCATTGTGCTCGCTTCCAGCCGGGATATGCCGGCGAGCGTCGATAAGTTCCAGAGACTGCGAAGAGGCCCAATATCCATGTTGGCTATTAGACATACCACATGAGGATTTGCCTGCTGCTATTAAGGTCTGGCGAACATGTGACCAGTGACTATCAATTGTCTCCAGTGAGCGTTTACTCAACTCGCATGTCAGCGTACTTCGATACGCATTCAGATCATCTGGCTTTGTCAGTTGGCTAGTGTCAATGCGCTCACAGCGTCGTCGTGGGCGTCCTCCAAAACGCATCCGCATGTCAGCACATACAAGTGCATGATCGGTGTCCACACATGTGCTCCAAGTCGAGCGACAGTTCTGGATGCAGCCTCTCCAGCGGTAACTGATAGCAATGTGATCGATCCGCGTTCAAGGCTGGTGGGCGCCAAGTCACCCTCCGGTGGGTGCTGTCTCGGAAGTAAGTGCTCGCAAGAAACAAGCGGGCATCTTCACACAAATGAAGTAACTGTTCACCGTTATCATTACGGGAGCCTACACCGTGCTGACTGCCCAGATGCAGTTCATCAGTGAACAGCTTTCCAACTTGTGCGTTCAGATCCCCCGCCAGAACAACAGTGTCCGTGCTTCTTCTGTGGCGAAGGAGCTAGGTCAGTTGGCGGTAGAAGTCGTTCTTTACCGAATCATCGCTAGAGTTTGTGGGCGCGTAGGCAGCGATAATGTATAGACACCTGTTAGTCCCGCGCGACTTCGTAGCTTTGAATGAGCAAGCCAAGCGGACAGCAAACATCCGGCTACTGATTGGAATCCAAGCAACCAGAGCACCTTCAGCCCGGGGACTCAGGGCAATGCCAACACCAGCTTGGCCGGTGCTCGAAGCTGCATCGTTACCGGATAGGCGCAATGAGAAGGTGCTGCTGGTGTCACTTGAAGGGGATCGCAAAGTGAGCACAGAGCTCGAGTCTTGCAGGCGGGTCTCTGATAAGCAGCAGATATCGATCGAGGTCTCTAATGTTCGGGCAAGTGCTGCCTGTTGACCGATTTGTAGTAATGTGCGTATATTGAGGCATGCCAACCTGAAGGAGGATCGAGGGCTCCAAATGGAAGCCGATGCACTGGAATGGACCGCTTGGTTGGACATGGGCTTGTCGACAGGAGAGGAGTGACGCTCCGCGTTAGCATGTGAGTTGATATTAAAAGATAAATGCCTATCAAAGCAAGGCTGGGGAGGGCCAAGAATTGGGGGGTTGAAAACTAGGGGGATAAAAGTGAAGTTGGAACGGGACGGTAAGAGTGAGAAAGCATAAGAGGGGGAATAAGAAGACGGGAAGGCTTGAGCAGTAGCATCCAAACCCCTATCCACTCTGCTTGGTGCAGCAGATAGGGCACCGTTGATTATCCTCCGCGGTGGCCAGGGTATCAAGAAATTGTTTGAGGAATGATTCACCTGTTGCTTTGACATCACAGTTTCAAACCAATCGGTTAGGTATGAAGACAATGCATTCCCTGGTACGCCCATCAACAAATTGGCTGAAGAATTATAGAGGCGCTTTAAACACCTGATTAGTTGATCGCGGTATTCCATAACCAACGCTCAGCGGTTTTCGGCAAAACTCAAAGGACTGCGAATCGGCCATGAAGAAATAATGGTGTGCTTCGACGTTACCGAACTGTTCACTTCTGTCCATTTACAAGTGGTGAAGGAAAACATCAGACAAACCCTGAATTCTGGCGTTGATCAGCTTCATCTGAGTGGCCAACATGGTGTAGGCTCTCGTAATGATAACGGTGAGCGGTCGCTACACCTGTGTAAAGATGCCCGTCTGTTTCTGGCGAGCAATAACTTTTGATACAGCACCCGCCGGAGGGTGACTTGGCGCCCACCAGCCTCGGACCAGTCATGGACGCAAATCGATAACATCGCGATCAGCTACCGATGGAGAGGTGCGTCCAAAACTGTCCCTCGATTTGGAGCACCAGCGTGGACTCCGATCAAGCTCTTGTGTGCCGACCTTCAGGCGCGTTTCGCCGGACGTCCGCAACGTCGCTCTGAACACATAGACACCAGCCAACTGGTGAAGCCAGGTGTTCTGCGTGTGAATCAAAGTATGCTGGCATCTGGGCTGAGTAAGCGCCCATTAAACACCGTTGAAGATCACTGCTTGCATATTGGTCAGAAGTCACCAAAAGTAAGCATGTCTTTATGTAGCAAATCAAGTTGCCAGTCTGAACACTGGGTCTCTACGCAGCCTTTGGA